AAATAATATTTTAATCCTAAGTGGCTGAATTTAAAATACGCTTATTAACCAAATTTATAAAAACAGTTGTGTCTTGATTATTTAAATTTACCCATGTTTCTTGGTTGCTGGAGGTCCACCGGATTAAATTTGTACAAAACAAAGTTTTTGACAATTTTATTTTAGGTTTCTAGATTTCACAGTCTTTGCAAAACAGGTGCCACGAAAAAAAATTCAAAAGTCACAAAATTCTAATTCCAAGAAGTATACTTTAAAGTTTAAAAGATATTTACGTACTACAAATACGTAGTGTTTCCCAATGTGGGCCCTTGCCCCATCGGGGGGCAATTTGACTGTTACGGGGGGCAAACCAAATGGACTCGACGTTTTTCATTATTTGTTTTGATTTATTAGTGACTTCCTCCTAAAACCTTAAAAATTTTTAAGTGAAACATTTTTAATATTAAAAATTTTGTATGTAACATGGGCCCCCATGAATTCGAATTTAAAAAAAGGCTAAGGTGGGCATGGCACAAAAATCTAAACGGTACTCGGAAAATGACAGTGTATATAATATTAGTTAAAAAATATTGTATGACAATTTAGGTAAATACATTGAAATAAATAACTAACCTTAACATAAACTAAAATATATTATTAAAAGGAGTCCCTTTAGACAAGGTTCCGAAGATACTGGCAGCGTTCCCCCTTTGAATAGCTAGACTAATTCTTTGTAAAAAAATGTATCATAACATTAATTTAAATCATTTTGTATGTTACTAAAACAAATTATTTGAATCAATTAAAATGTTGCCTATGTTATTCAGCGTTAATGCAAGAAAAGTTTAAACAAGTTAACTTTGCGCTGGTCCCGAGTGAATAGCTTTTATGGATTAATCGGTCATCCTGGAATTAATAACGGTGGAAATTGTAAAGGTATTTCAACAATAAACTTCCAAATTCCATTAAATATTTATTTCGGCTATACATTTACTCTGATAAGACAATTATATATAATACTAGCTGACCCAGCAAACGTTGTTTGCCATATATATTATTTCTAGGAAACATTTTTTAGTTCTTTAAAAATAACTATAATAAAAAATAGAGGTTGATTGTAGAGGGGTGAAAATTAAGGGTTGTATGTATTTTTGTATGCTGTATCATAAAAAAATAAAAACAAAAAAAAATACCTAAAAAATAAAAATTTAGGGGTGGACACCCATTAACATTTAGGGGTTTGAAATATAGATAGTAGCCCATTCTCAGACTTATTGAATTTGTATAAAAAAATTCATAAGAATCGGTCGAGCTGTTTCGGACGAGTATGGGAAAGAACATTGTGGCACGAATTTTATATATTAGATAATATAATTAAGTTTATATTTAAACCATATATAAAGAAGAATAAGCACTAGATTTTGAAGTCTGTCCTATTTTAAGTTACCAATTAAGTTTGGTGGAGGTTGTTGGAGGTATGTTCAAATTAATCTCTTTGTTTGAAGCTGGATGTCAACTGGCTTTCATCGTTTAAAGCTTGTAACTTAGATAAAATTAGGGGATGTGGTGTTCGATGCTGGATTAACAATTAACAAAGACTTTTTAAAGGATTCTTAAATCTAAGTGATATTACCTATAAAGAATATGTGTAGTCAACTAATGTAACTAATCTAACTCTTCATTAATAATTTGTTATTACATGATTGCACTACCAAACAAGTATAACCAATAACCAATAACAATTGCAAAGAAGAAATATACATTTTTAAATTGCATATTTGATCAATAGATAGTATTTGTTAATCTAGTTTATTATCATTTATTATCATTTATTTTTATTGTATTTTTTTCTCTTTTATAATTGCAATGTTTCCCTTTAAATGTTGTGGACACTTGTAATTGTTCATGCATGTATTGTTTTTTGTTTGTCTCTGTGATTCGGTAGTGTGTCTTTTTTAAATAAATAAATAGCTATGTGGTGAACACATAAACGCATTGGGCCTTGTGTTAATTGCGAACAGAGAGAATAAAATCAATGGCTGCACAGCGATTTGAATGCCCAACCTCAGGGTTGAGAATTGTTACTTTAGCCACAAGATTGTTAGTGGTGGTGCCTTGGGGTTTTAGAGCACAATAGCCAGTCCCACAAAACCCTCCCGCAGTAAGCAGTCGCGCCGTGAGAGGGTATGCGGAATGCATTTAAAGTAAAGAAAAAGCCACAGGATAGTTAAATATATTGCTCTTCCCATTTCACATAACAGGTGAACGATAAAGTAAATGTCGGAATCTTTGTAAATCGAAAATAGGTAACAATTTTACTTCCTTCAACTTTTATGTTTTGCAATCGAAATCTCCTGTCTCGCTCAAAGAGTCGAACTTTAACATCCAAAGAGCATCGATACAAAGCCTTTTCAATATTTAAATGTATACGGCTCTTTGACAAAATAAATGTAAGGAACAAAGAAGTTGTTCTTTCACGAACTAATTCCTTTGGGGCGAATTAACATCAAATCTTTTGTTTTTCAAGTACCGCGGCTTATCTTAACTTGTAAAAAATTTATAACATTTATTATATGCAGCAAATAACTTAAACAAAAGACGGTAGGGTATCGGGTCTGGGCCATACTTCTGTATCAATTCCATTATCATTTTTTTATCACGCAAGTAGGTGATCAATCTCACACACACACCGTCGACTTTTTGGCTTGCATGCCGGTTCCTCACGATGTTTTCCTTCATCGTACGAGCGAGTATTATATGCGCATATAGATAGTTGTGGGTTGTTTCTACGACTGAAAGTTGAATCTACGACCGTGGATGAGAGAAGCTTTTAAAGCCTACTAGGCCAATACTATTCTTCCAACAAACTGTTTTACATAGCTTATACTTTCACCATGATATGATTGCCATTTCCCAGTCAGCACTGGTTGAAATGGCAATGGAAATGTTAACTGTGTAACTGTTTTGTTGAATTAATATCAAAAATATTAGGGTCGCTGTCGCTACAGCTATTGACAGTGTAACTAATGGCGCTGAAGAAAAATGCGTAACACGACAGACAGTGGCAGACAGCTTTTTAAAATGTAAATCTATAAATTAATTCGTAAACAAATTTTACCATTCCGGTATCTTAATTAATGTTAAACAACTAGAAGAAAAATTTGAAAAGGTATAGGGAAAAGAAGGCGGAAACGTAACCACTAACATGTCCACGGGCTGCGGTGACTGCCTTTTGTAGCTTATTTTGTTCTTATTAAGAATCCCTACCGCTTTATTTAAAAACACATTTATACATATTTATTATTATATCGCTAATTTTGATAAAGAAACTCTTTATTGACCCATTAAGGTACACAATAAACATCCGATGCCAGCAAAATACCTTTGTCTTATAAAATAGAAAAAGTTATTTATAATATTTTTATGGTCTTGTAAACCTAGTGTTACGGACGCCAGTTCCCTCCCACAGACACATTGGTCAATATCGATAAGTAATTAGAAAAGTTCCAGTATCTATACCATACCTCAATAAAATTGTATATGTCCTTGATTAACATAACCTTTACACATTTAAAGAAAAAACTTTTTAACCGGATTAAAGTTATGTATTATTATAAATTTACAATTATTTGTCACCGTAACCACGCACGCTGTAAAGCACGCGAAACGTCGGATAAATTTAAAATTATGTTAAATAATCGTAAATTTATAATAATACATAACTTTAATCCGGTTAAAAAGATTTTTCTTTAAAATTGTATCTTTTCAGTTTTTGCTCAAAATAAATCAAACATTTTCTAAAAATTATGAAAACAAAAATGTATATATTTCATTAAAATATTTCATCTCCATTACCGTATCTAACAAAGCGGTGGTCTTAATTAAAAAAGTCGAAATCCTGTGAAGGGTTCAAAAAATCCAATACGTAATAATCATTTGATGAAACAAAGCACATCTTACGGCCTTTTTTGTCTCTTATTAAGCCTTCGGGAATGAAAGGAAGTAATTAAAAGTAGACTTAATTAAACGGCAACCTTTTCCTATGAAACCGAAAAGAAAAATGTTGGTCTTATATTCAAGATTTTGTATTATTTTAAATTCAATTATTTTTTAGTAAAATAGCGTTGTAAAGAAACATCATTTATCGCAATTTTTATTTATAAGTGTAATATAAACGTTGAAAATCTGTATATATAATTTTATATTTTAATAGGCTGCTTGTCAGGAGATCTAGTTTAATGGTCACCTAATAAATTTTAAAGGTTACTAACTGACCCGACAAACGTTGTTTTGCCATTTATATTATTTCTAAGAAACATTGTTTTAGTTCAATAAAAATATCTATCTGCTAAAATAAAAATAGGGGTTGATCGTAGATGGGGTGAAAATTAAGGTTTGTATTTATTTTTGTATGTTGTATCATAAAAAATAAAAACAAAACAATTTGTCCAATAATTTTTTAATTAAAATACTCAGTTGAGCCGTTTCGGAGGAGGGAACGAACATTGTGACACGAGAATTTTATATATTATATTTAATTTAAAAAAATAATAATCTAGATTTACATTTTCTACCGGCTCACGAATGGCTAGAGATGCTTATCATTAGTAAACTCTGTGTCTCTGCACATATAAAAAATAACGTGGAAAACATACAAAGGAAATACGTTGCGCAATAATAGACTCGCTTGTCACCACAATACATCACCAGGATCAAAGGACACAATATCAGTCAAACAATAGAAGTGCATGATTCAACCGACCTCCCCCTGCTTCACAATAATTAGTCTGAGTGCATGCGACGCGACCGCCACTAAAGTCCGCTATTTACAGCCTTTTAAATTTATGACACCGTTAATTACTTAACAGCTGATACTAAAAAATTCAATTTATCAACTTTGTGCTTATTAAAAAAACAAAACACAAGCATAACACCCCGCCTCACTGAAAGCAATTTGAAAATAGAACAGTTTTTAATTATATGTTTTACTTGTTTCAGGCGTACTGCGAGAGCTTAGAAGCATGGAGACCCTCATTCAATATTTACTTTTAACTCTCGCTCTGACCTCAGTTCAAATATCCTACACTGAGAGTCGTCTAAATGAAAAACGCCGAGATAAAACTGAAAGGAGATACCACGCCGTTCAGGCTAAAGACAACATGTGTGAAATAGCAAACAGAGACTCCAAAGTCCACTGTTACTGTGAGAACACAGAAATAAAAACAGCAACACGCGCTGACTGTTGGGTGTTCAACGGTGGCATTGACGAAACTGATCCTATCTGGACCAGTTTTAACTCGCAACCCTTCCTGGAAAAGCTTACATTCAATATACGCTCGGACGGAGCTCTTAAATTCGTCCCACTCAACGTAATTCATAAGTTAAAGCGATTGCAAAAATTGCAAATACACTATGCGACGCTAAACAAAATCGAGAAAAAGACGTTTACGAACATGTCGACAGTAAGAGAAATAACGTTAATGAACAACAAAATAATGGAGCTGGACTTCTCCGCGTTCGCAAACCTCCCGTCGCTCGTAAACTTGACTATAAAAGGAAATAAAGTGACCGAGATCCAGAGGGATGTTTTCGTCGATTTACCGAGTCTCAGATATCTCGATTTATCGTTTAACAGTATTAATCTAGCTCACGATGGATGTTTCGAACATCTGAACCTACTCACCGATCTCGTATTGGAAGCTAATTTAATTTCGGTTTTAACTAGAGACACTTTTAGAGGTCTCGGTAATTTGACGAGATTGGATTTGAGATCAAACAAGTTATCAATGATAGGAGACTTGACATTTATTGAATTGTGGAACTTGAATGAGCTCCTTTTAGACAATAATGAGTTGAAATATTTATCGGAAAGGGCCTTTGATGGTTTGACGATGCTTCAAAAATTATCTATGACTGGCAACAAATTACAGACCATTAACGAAGTGCTTTTGGAGGGTGTCAGAGGACTCGAATTGCTGGATTTAAGAAATAATGAAATTAAACAATTTTCCTATGAAACGATAAAACCGATTTTAGAAAACTTAAAACTGAAAACTTCTGTTTTATATTTAAGTGGTGAGTATTCATTTTATTTTTTACACACCTTAAACCAATTAATAGTGTCATAGATTCTAATAAATTGAAAAACCAATATGCCAAAACCAGGAGCAGTGTTGGCCTAGTGGCTTCAGCGTGCGACTCTCATAACTGAGGTCGTAGGTTCGATCCCCGGCTGTGCACCAATGGCCTTTCTTTCTATGTGCGCGTTTAACATTTGCTCGAACGGTGAAGGAAAACATCGTGAGGAAACCGACATGTCTTAGACCCGACGTCGAAAAGTCGACGGCGTGTGTCAGGCACTGGAGGCTAATCACCTACTTGAAATGATCATGAATCAGATTCAAATATCTAAGGCCAAGACCTAAAGATGTTGTAGTGCCACTGATTTGTTTATTTGTATAATAAGCCAAAACCAATGGATAGCAGAATAACTTCTTCAACTCCTATACTCAATTCTTTTCAATCCGAAAACCCCTTCTTATCTCAAAAATCACTTTAAATTCTTAGGTCCTTCTAACTATATGTTACGCTCTTCTAATAGATGTTTATTGGAAATTCCATCTCACACTTCATCCTTCTTAGGCAATTCATTCACGATCTCCGCCATTAAGTTGTGGAATACGCTGCCCGACTCCGTACGATTGGCTACCTCTCTGTCATCTTTTAAAACTCTTCTGTATAATCATTTCTTAACCTTATCCTATCCTGATCAATCGTGACTTGTATAAATCTTATGTTTCCTTTTACATCACTATTTGCTGTCCATGTATTTGTAAGATTAACTTTTAAGTTTTTAGTCTGTTGTTAATATTTTTTTTTTGTTTGTATTATTTTAGATTAAGGTACTATGTATATATATATATATATATATTTTTATATAACATTTGTTTCTGCACTTCTCGCACGAATCATGTTTCTTTTTTTTTAGTTTTTTTCTTTAACTAGGGTTGCCTGGAAGAGATCGCTTATTAGCGATAAGGCCGCCCGTTGCATCCCTTATAATTTTTTTTTTTTTGTATTGTGTTTGATTTATTGTTTTTTGCAACGAAGTGTTAATAAATAAAATAAAAATAAATAAATAACTATCAGTGCTACGCAAAATAGTTCTCTCCCTCTTTATTCAATAACTCTTCAATTATTTATCGTATTAAATACCATTCAGTACCCGAATTCACTAAATTACAAGTTCAAATGTATTAAACTGAACATGTAGACATGTCATTTAGCAGTAAATAACACACCAGACACATTTCAAGTACGTTCATGAGAAGATAAATAACTATATTTTCAGCAAACAATGGCACGCTCCCTATAGGGCTTAAAGCCCTTAGAAAAGCACCCCTCTCGTGTTAAGCACAATTAATGAGTGTAACAGTTCCCCATACGAAGTCAACAATGGCGTTATAACACGATTTAGACACAAAGAAATATGAATTATTAAAAATCAACAAACATTACTGGTTTGTTCCCATGATAATTTCATTATGACTTTTGTTGGGCGTCGATAGCCAGTATAAGCCCTGCTTTATTAGATTACGTAGGCGGATTCCATGTGGATTCATCCGTAATTTACGATCTCATTCCGCTTTCAAATATTCCTTAACGCTGCATAAATTTATTTGTAATCATAAATATTTATTCGCAGGTAACAAATTAAGATGTGATTGTCGGTTATCCTGGATTCAAGTATTGCGTAATGAAACGAAAAGTGAACCACTCAGACAGGCGCTCGACGAAGTCACTTGTATACCAAATATTCCGGAAAATGTCGATAATGGGATGAATACGAATGACAAACTGACTGATTTGGTTGATGCTGATTCTGAGGGTGATTCACTTCAACAGGATGAAAATGACGATGAAACCTACGATGCTAAAATTGAAGATGACAAATCAGAAAATCAAGTAGTTCTCGTGGACATGCCATCAGAGACACTCCCGTGTCCAGGACAGTTGGGTCACAATGGTGAAGATTCATTGATGCTGTCTTCAAACGATGAAAGTTATTGGCAGCAAAGTTCCAGTGTTAAAGTCCTATCGAACTGCTTCTTATTGATTCTAACAATATTACTGCATTAAGTGCTAAACGTAATTTATTTCGTTTGACAATTTGTTTTTGTAAGGAAAAAAGACTGGTTAAGAATATTTAATTAAATTATTCTGTAGGAAGTAGTCTGTTGGTGACAGCGAATTTTGTCTTTAGAATTTAGAAGGATGTTTTTCGGATATATTTAAATCTTGTTGCTCAGTAAATAAAAATAATAGGCTTAATATTTTAACGCGATATTCATATTTTCCTCTACTCACTAAAATATAATTGATAAAAGGGAATTTTATTCAACATTCCGCTATATTAAATGAGAATAGATATCATATTTTAATTACTATTATGTACATAGAATATATGATATTAAAGCGGAAAATTTATGCAAGAAATAGGGTTGTGTATAAGGATATTTATTTTTATAGTAACGTTTGATTTAAAACATTCCTAAGATACTTAAATTAGTGTTTAGTATGTTCTTATTATTAGTACTACTTACTAATAACAACTCAATATTGTTTATTATATTTCTCCAATTGATTTCAAAAGCCAAATTGTCAATGCTATGATATCCTGTTTTAGAAACAAGAACTGTGCAGGCACTCCTTAATTTTTAACAATGCTAACGTTTTGATGAAATTACGATGGCCTTTTGGTCTAACGCTGGTGTTATCCAGCATGATAATGGACACACCAGATACCAGTATTATAATGGTGACGGCCCGATAAAGCATCTTTTTTAAAGAACATTAGTCTACTTCACTATTATAACTACTCATTTCTGAATGTCAAATTATTTTAATGATAAAAGGTATTGTATAAAAATAGTACGCTATTTAAGTCCATTTGCATATTTTCAAATAGAAGTGATAACATTAATAAATAGTACCTGCCAACTATATTCATATTGGCAATGTATTTTCTCCCAATATTTGTAACTCGCATTTGGCTGGGTTTCAACTTATTGAAAATTTCATACTTGAAAATATGTTTACGGTCAACATGAAAAATGTTTCTCGACTACGACCTAAATATTGTAAACTATTTTAAACTACGTCCTTTACAGGTTCAATTTTCCGTACTTTTCATTGGAACTTTTCCACTTTAATATACAGAGTACAGACACTACCTGCGGTTACACCCGCCTCAGTCGTAGAATGAGTACAGCCTTTCTTAATGGGCTATTACTTAATACATTATAAATATAGTTCTAAACCAAACTAGTACCCCAAATTTGGCGTTCAACTTAAGTCATTTCTGTAATTTTCTGTAGAGACTGGTCCCAATTCCGATGTCTTTCTGACAAAATATGAAGCGCTGATGTGGCTTCATTGGTCGCGCGAAATAAAAGCTCAACATCGGAGTAGATTAGCTGCCGCTGTTGGGAGCTACAGGCTGCCAGCGCTGTATCAATAGTCCATTTACTAAGACATCATCATGCTTCGACTGCTAACGCAAGTAATCGCACAGCTAGTTATATATACTGGTATTACATTACCATAAGCTATTTTTATTATTTCTCTTGTATAAAATATCCACTGTATAAATTACCTTGTACAAATAAATATAGTCTTAAAAATACGATTTCACGTTTGAATGTTTAATGTTAAATATAATTAAGGATTTGAGTGTAGGCTGTATTATTTAATGTATAAATTGAACAAATGAACAAATAAAGTTTGGTATATAGAACTGATTTTTTATTTACAAAGATGTACACAAAATATTCATTTAGCTACTCGTAAATATACTATATAGATAATAGATATAGACAATACTATTTAAACCAATTCGGCTTAGGGACCTACAAGAAAAGAGCGTTCTTGTACTAGTACTAGTTCTTAAAAGACCGGCAATGCACTTGCGAGCCTTCTGGCAATGTGTGTCCACTGTCAATGGGCGGCAATATTATACCTTATTTAGTATTGGTATGTACTTCTGGTACTTCTAAGGTACCAAATACTAAGTATTGTAATGAAACGAACTCTTCAGGACACGTTTAGTTAATATGAATGTCGGAACAATACTGATCTATATTGAAACATCAATACTTTTATATTAGTCATGTGGGCTGAATATCACTTAACATCAAGTGAGCCTCCTGCCTGTTTGCCTCTATTACATTTAAAAAAAGTTTGCGTAACCCTGAGTTCGTCGTTCTTTATAGTTACCTCAAGTATGTTTAATGCAATCATTGTAAGTAAAGTGACAAGACCAAAAATCAAAATGCGGCAGGCATAGACAATTACCCAATAAGTATCTATAAGTTCAATCAATACGGTGGGTTAAGACCCACAAAGAAGCATCGTATATGAATGTTATGGACATGGTATGTTACAAATATCAAGTAAAAAAATCTATCACAATTCGATACTAAATTGTAAATATAATAAAACTGTCACAAACTTCAGAGTCGAAACTATGACCATACAGACCTTGGGTTTTAACTACGGCGTTCTTTATATAATACTATTCGTAATGTTTACGGTAAAGTTAAGTGATTGGTAAAATTGTATAGAATATACTGTGTTAATTGGGAATCAGGGCGTACCTTTTCTTTCTGTCCTGTAATAGATCAGAACTTGTAATAAAGACAAGACTACGGAAGCTTTACCTAACGTATTATTCTCCATTTATTTCAATAAACATTGTATGAATAGTAATGTTCCGCTATAACATGTAACAAAGATCCAGATAGTGCTGGCACGGGGGAAAATTGCGGAGCGTCCCCGCATCGTATGCAAATAGGATCCCCCAAGCTCTTATTAAAATCTCTAGTGCCAAAATACTTGGAGAAAAAATGAGAAATTCCTATCTCATTTTCTTTTAAAATGACCGTCTCGTATAGTCGTGAAATCCTCAAAAGGTGTACAAAGTGTCATTCAGAGCCTAAGATTTTTGAAATGATACAGAGCCGAGACGAAACTTTGCACCTTAAAAATTCACCCGGCGTATTTCACTTGCCACCGCGACCCCTACTACTGTTATGTACGTATCCATAATAAAAATTATGTGACAAATAATATTAGTTGATATTCTTTTGTTTTCATTAAATACATAAAAATTTTCATTGCCATACTCTATTACTTCTACAAACTACATATACCAAATGCTTTGCTGGTGTATTCGGAACAGGTCCACTGCTACTGTATCCCGTATGAGGAGGCTGGCTCAATTAAAAGGACATTTGAGAGGTAATCTGTCAGTCAATCTGACATTTCAAAATGGCCACAGTCGTACCAATTTCAGCCGCCGGCCAAGATGTGGAACTGTAATTTACAAGAACCATGTTAATAAAATGTATTGTATAGGAAGGATATTGTGCTGTTCTTTAGATCTAAAGAGAGGTTTTGTCGACTATTCCCAGTATTGGGTTGACAGAAGTCCCCCGTGGCTATGATCGAGAATTTTTATATAAACTTAACGGTCGGAAAAACCTCGGGGTAAAATTCAGAAACAAGACTTAATACAAACTTTGACTCCCGTATGTCAACATCCAATAGATTTTTGTAATAAGAGAGTCAGACTTAGCGCTGTCTAGTTTCTATCACTCTTAGCGCGATTCAGGCAATGACGTCATCGTAGTGATTTGTAGCAACATATTGTAGGTGTTGCTACAAAATTATTATCGTCACCAAGGCTATGTTTTTAATTTATAGATTTTTTTTTAATATCATACTACATTTCTTATTTTAGATCAAGCGAACAATCGCCGATAATGGACACCCGCAACACCATGAGGTTTACAAGTGAGTTGCCAGCCTTTAAGCAAGTGGTACACTCTTACAGGTACACACTTCCCTAAGTCGTAAAGGTACGGTATCCATATACTAATAATTTCAGTATTAAAATAATAATTATTGCTGGTGGTACAGTTTGGCTTCGTCTTGAAGTTATTTCTTTGATATTGAAAGCTAAGCGCAAAAAATCCTTTGAAAAATGACAGGCATAAATATGTCTCCAGACTCGATAGCATTTTCCATAGTACGGGTAGCCGTGATCCCTCGAAGCGGATGTTAATACTCCACCGCAATAGACCATTCACTCTTATTACTCATTCGAAGCCTCTATAGTACGAAAATGAGATTCGAGTATAACTCATTTCACCACCAATGACGCATTTTCTGATTTCCCTTATTCCACCTTGATTGCGTTACTTTGGCATTTACCCTTTTGATCGTGATAAACTTGTAAGGGAATCGTTCAAGATACAATTTTCATCTTAATACGTTTATATTGTGCGGAGCTTGATGTTTCGTATTTGAATATGGCTTCGTTTATATTTTTCTTGTAACGACAAGAGACAATAAGATACTAATTACTTTTTCTTAACACAAGGTAAGGTAATAGACTTGCTTTTCCAGCTCTCAGACTTCTTAAAACTTCTCACACATTTATGGGGAAATGTATACATATATATACATATATAACAACATTTCAGATCATGTAACTAAACTTCCGCTACATAAGTTTAAACTTTAAATCAAGGAAACCCTAATGAAAAAAGGATACTACACAGCTCAAGAATACATATACGATAACAATACCCACACATTGTAATGCCGCTATAAGATAGTGAAATGGCGTATATAGGCATTCATAAGTGTACAAATAGTACCTAGATGAATAAATGAGTTTTGAATTTAATTGAATTGAATAAGATACAGAGGCGATAAGTATGTCAAATGCAATGCATAGGAGTCATAATAAAAATAAATTAAGCCTTTATTTCTAGAATTCTGAAGTATTTTTTTTATAAAAGAGTCAGGCAGCATATTACACAACTTAATAGCGGAGATCCTAAACGAATTGCCTAAGAAGGATGAACTGTGAGATGAAATTTCCAAAAAGCATAGGTATATTTGAGAGCCATAACATGTATCTATTTATTTTCCTTATTTCCTATTTTTACAGTAACTTAGGACTCCCACACAAAACTGCGATGCGATGCGAATTCGCATAGCAGGAATTTGCGATGCGAATTTCTGCGATACGATTTAGTGCGGCAAACTGTTTGGTAGGGCGACCATTCCTT